TCAGAGGGTCCCAAGCTGGTTACTCATCGCGTGCATCAGAGTGAGCATTCTCGAAACATGGCGCTGCAAGACGTTGCGGCGAACTGGTGGGAACATGTTCAGGTGATACTGCACAAGTTGGCTCAACACAAGCGGCGAGGGAATGGTCTTAGCCAGTCTGAGGCCTTGACACCCGCTGGTGGCAGGGTAGCCCCCAGGATGTGCTCTCAAGTCGGTTGGCAAAAGGCCTAACGATACGACGTGGTCGCCCTGGCTCACGGTGCTCAGAAAACTTCGAGATATTCCCTTCCAGCAGCCTCAGGAGGCCCTGAATGTGGCGAGGCGAGCTCGCGGGCATGCCATATCAGTTTCGTTTACTGAACTTGAACAATGGATTGGTAGAAATGAACGCACAGGCGCAATCTTTCGAGCCACGAAGGAGATGCCAGTAGCAGAGCAGGAATTCTCAGCATCGACAGGAGCCGCATTTCATCCCAAAGATGTGGTGGACCATAAAGCAGAGCAGTGGCACTCGTTGTGGATGTCAGGGGACAAGCAGACAGTTCCCAAAGTTCGAGCACTCTTCGATCGCATCCGTTTGCATTCAGCTTCAGAACCTCTGATGCCTCTCGCCACCGACGACATTCGAGCGGCAGTCAAGCAGATGAAACCCCGGGCAGGGCAAGGGGTCGATCGGCTATCGCCGATCGACTGCGAGCGACTGCCCGATCAGGCGCTGGCTGAGCTTGCAGTTATGTATACAATGCGTGAACAATGTAAAACATGGCCGTGGCAACTCATGCCAGTACTGGGGCGACTTTTGCCCAAGAAGAGTGCTGGCAATCGTGTGGTTGGTCTTATATGCATGGTATGCAGAGTATGGTCGCTACCGAGGGAACCTCTCATTCGGGTGTGGACCGCCGCGGGCCAGCCAGATTAGGAGGCAGCGATCACGGGCAACTCGGCCTTGCGCGAAGCATGCATGAGAGCTCTTGACAAAGAGCTTTTCACCAAATTGAAAGCAGCGCATGGCCACGGGTTATCAGATACACAGTCCTTTTCATGACGAAATGGAATGAACAATGTTGGTCGAAGGTGCGGTCAAATACGGTGTCGCTCCAGTCAGGCCTGGGCTCGAGCTGCAAACTTGCGCTGGGCCAAAGCTTTTGGGCCAAGGGGATGCAATGTCTTGCCCGTTTCAGGGCACGCGCAGTATTACTCAAGGCTTGCGGAGTGGAACAAGATTTGCGAAAATGGTTGCCAACATGATTATGGCTCGCCTTACCGTCATTCACCCTCAGCTCTCTGAAAGGTCATGCATTCATGACCTCTCTCAGACAACAATTGGATCACGAACGTCAGTGTGCGAATCGTTAGTGGAAGGTATCACGACGGCGAATGATTTGCTTTCAGAATTCCCCCGTCACCTGGCAAAGAACAGTACCGTCAATTATTCACGCATGCGTGGCGCAAAACGTATTCAGAAGCGGCTGCAGAGGAGAGGCATTCAAATTGCGACAATTCCTCTGACCTTCTACCTCGGCGTCGACCTGGCGAGCGGCAAGAGACATGGACGAGCTGCACAACGGAAACGGGACGCCAATACCTTCAGGCAGCATCACAAAGTTCGGCGATCTGCGTTCACGTCCAAGCGCTTCAAAGTGTTGCAAAAGGTGGAATTGGCGGGCCCTCAGGCAGACGCGAGGTATGGGCACCAGGTCCAAGGTCTACCTGCTTCCTCGCTCACACACACCCACGGCGGCGATCGGGCGCAGTGGCAGGAGGCCACCGGCGAGGGCACTGTCTGACAACGTTGCTGGACATCAGAGCTCCAGGGGCAGACCCAAGGTATGCCCTGCCTCACCAATGCCTTGCCGAGTTGCCCCGGGTACGGCTTGGAGTTCCTCGCTTTCGGATGCCAGTCGCACGAGGCTGGGCTGCCACAGTTTCGGATGTTCAGCAGCACCAACCCCAGAGTCGTGCCCGACTGATTCGGGGACCGCTCACGGCTGGCATCTACTATCTCCTCGGCGCGGGATGGGAGATACCTGAACCAGCGCTGTGAGCGGCAGATCACGACGGGCACCAGGCTGGTTGGAAATTCGATGGTCCAGGGTTTCAAGCAAGCGGTCAAGCAGTTGAGTGGCTCGGTGCCTGCGCTCGGTCTATTATTCTGATGAAACAATGGAAGCAAGCAGCAGCGTCAACCTGTTGTGGAGGAGGACTGGAAGCAGGAGTGGATACTTTCAGTCTGGGGACGCAACTGTATCAGCTGGAGCAGATCCCCAAGATTGGACGCAGGTTGGCCCATCTACACTTCTAACTGTATCACTTGGTGGGGCGTGGACAGCGTCTCGCAAGAATGAAGCAGGATACTCAGTCCCATCTCAATGTGCAAGATGTGGAGAAGGTCCACAGACGCCCATGCATCGTTTCTGGAGTTGCAGGTGCAATCGCGGGGTAGCAGCCTTTGATCTGTCACAAGATTTGAGCCACAACGGGTTTGCTCAAGGTGACAGTATGGAGTGCGACTGGCATCGAGGGTTAAATCCCTCCCATATCACGGCTGTGGACCCCCCTCCGAGCGAGAAGAGCTGGACTGCCAGTCACACCGACGCCCTCGACCAGCATGTCTTTGGCGACGGCACGGGGTCCACGCCAATCATGATCCATGGTGATGCTCCAGGCGGCTTAGACACACATGATCCTCGACTTCGTCGGATTGGGTTGGCGGTGTCAGCAAGTGGGGAAAAGCCAGGATCAGATTCTCGTGTTGTGTTTGGTCCGATTCCAGGAGTTCGACAAACCGTTCCTCGGGTCGAATTGGTAGCGGTCCTCTTGGGAGGTCGTTGGTCATCAGGTTGCATGGTTTTCATCACGGGCAATGAAGAAGTCTGCAGAGGATGGTGGGCGAGGTGGTTTCTCGCCTCGCAAGGGGCCAACTCAGACCTGTGGATGGAGATCGGCACCGCCCTCCAGAGGCAGAGCAGGCACCATTCCCAAACAAGTGTGGTCAAGGTGCCGTCCCACGTCACGGGCGAGGAGGTGGCCAACCGCGGCCTGCCAGGCCGCCTCATCGCTGGCAACGCGTTTGTTGATCATCTGGCAGGAGAGGCAGCGAAACTGGCTCGTCGTCCCAAGGCTCAGCGCGCCCGTGTGCACCAAGCCGAGCACGAGGTCAGGCTCCTCAGGCAGAGATTGTTGAGGGCTACGCGTGAGGCCGCCGCCCACGATGAGAAAAAAAAGGCCCCCCCCCGTGCGGCGCGTGCTCCCACCAGGGTCCCTCCTCCTGCTCCTGCCAGGGTGGCCCTTGCTTGTTCGGCTCTCATATTGCGGGAAAAAGGTGCCTGGTCTGCCGAGGGTCCACGACTGCGGCAGCGAAAGAGGAGTTCTTAGAGTCGCCCTGCTTTCCTTTGGAGTCTCAGTCTTCGGGGATGTTAGAGGTGCCTCGGGGGGGAACAGTTACATCTCGCAGGGGGGTGGGTCCACCAATCTCACAAGATGATATATCACGAACACACGTCCTTGTGGTTTTGTGCGGCGTGCGCTTCCTACCATCAGCAGCAGCTCCGAGGTTTGGCTGATGAGTGCAAGGCCCCACCCAAAGCCACAATCACTAAGAGTCGGCGAGAATATCTCGACCGAATATCCAGAGGTCCTATGCCCAAAATTCCCAATAGAGCTGAAAAGGCGGCTAGATCCTCCTAATTAATCTTGAACTCGATTCGCGATCGGTCGTATTTTCTCTGATCTCCTGCTGCTCCTCCTCCTCCTCCTCCTCCTCCTCCTCCTCCTCCTCCTCTCCTCCTCGTTCATGTTCGATTCGAGGATGAACACGGTTTTGGACGTCTCCTGGCCGTCTTCGAGGAGTCCTGGAGCTCGGGGGGATCCAGGTAGGTCTGGGGCGACCCCCTCAGTGTTGACCCCCTCGGCACTGCCTGGCGTCCATCGAGGTATAGCACTAGGTCGGGCATGTCCCCCTAGGCTTTGGACGAAACATAGACATACTCAAAAGATGCTCAACAATGATCAAACAGGACTCGAAACATCGTGCCCAGTCTATGTTTTCTTTACTATGTTTGAATATCCCTCCTGTCGAGGGACACTCCCGACGTAAGTATAACAAGATGGGACCTCGGGAATCCAAGAGCACCTGCTGCCAGCGAACGGCCTGCCATCATGTGCGTCCGAACTTCGTTCGGCGGCCGCCCGCGCGCGCAGGAGCCCGCTCCGCCCGCAGGAGCAAAGCACAAAACACAATACAAAAACACCCTGCGACTCGCTCGTCTCGCGCGACAGGCAGCAGGCGGGCACTTTGGCCACCAGAGTTGCGCACGCGCCGCGATCGGCTCGGTCACCCGCGGGGACACTAAGCGACGCGTCGCTGCTCCGCGCGGGCGTGCGGCGAGGTGGGGGGAGGGGGGAAAATGGAAACGACCCTCGCGTCGTGATGGATCATTCCGATGGCCGCCTCGGATTATAAGCATGATGTGGTGACCCTGCAGGGGGCAGCCAATAGCAAGCAATGCAAAATAATGCAAATCAACGAACATATTATAACGCAACGCAAACCGGTACAAACCAATGCGATGTAAGATCAGCCATGTAAAGTAACGCAGAGCAGAGCAAGGCAATATCAGCCAATGCAAAGCAATGAAAGGCGATACGCATCCATGCAGAGCAATGAAGAGCAATGCAACACGATGCTACACAATGCAGAGCAACGCGGAGCAATCCAGCCGAATTGATGCAAATCAATGCAAGTCAACGCGCCGCAGTGTAACGCTGTGCGAATAAGCTGCGCAATGTAACACTAGACAAAACACAATAACGTAAAGCAATGCAATTCGGAACAATCCAAACCAATGCAGAGAAATGTACGCAAAGCGGAGCAAGCATGACATGTGAAGCAATGCAGGGTGCGCCAACACAACAAAACAGTACACAATGCACAGCAATGCGACGCAGATCAATGCCGACACAAGGCGATGAGAAATTCAGAGCCATGTAGAGCAAAGCGCAGCAGGGCGGAGCAATGCAGAGCAGTGGAACGACAGGCAAACAGACACGAAGCAATGAAGCGTATCGCCAAGCAACATGCAACACAGTGCGTGGCACTGCGAGCGGCAACGGGAACTCAGAGCAGCGCTGGCGGCAAAGGGGCGTGAACAGAGGGGCCACGGGGCGGCCACCTGGCGGGCACGGGCCAGACACCTGACACGCGCAGCCAGCTCGGCAGGCTCGGCAGCAAGAACCCTTGGTGCAACTGCTGGCTCGACAGAGGTCGGCGCCCGCGGCGGACTGCTTTGCCCTCGCCGAAGGCATGCCCTGCGACCCACCCTCGCTGCTTCAGCCAGATCGACGTCTGCGGCGGGCAGCTGTTCGCTGGCCTTGGAGAGCACCGTTGAGTTAAGTCGGGCGTGTCCCCCTACAGGGGGACTTTGAACCCAAATAAAGAAATACTGAAACAATACCCCCCAAATACTCAAAAATAGAAGACATATCGTCCCCAGGCTACTTTTTTACTATTTTTGTATATTCTCTCTGTAGGGGGAGGGACACGCCCGACTCAACCGTTGCGCAACACCGCTCACGTGGCCTTCCGACGACATGCCCGGCGACCAGCCCACACTGCTTCAACCAACTCGGCGCCTGCCCGCGCCCAGGAAATTTGGACGAACAAAATCTGCGCCCGCGGCGGGCCGTTCTACATTGGCGCCCCCATCACTCTCACAGTCGATGTACTACCAGAAGGAACGCCAGACAAGGAACAAAGGGGCTTTTCTGGCCACGGTGGGCCTAGCCCAAAAGCAAATCCCGCGACATCAATCTAAGAAACGACCCAGATCCCCGAGCCCCTTCCGAACCCAAAGCGGTCCTTCTTTCAGCGTCTTGGCTGTACCCGCAATTGCGGGGCGTGGAGCCCATCCTTCCAACATTGCCCCTGATGATCACAGACTGTTCTGGGGGCTTCCTTGGCGCACCTTGGGCCGTCTTAGAAGCCCTGTGGGCCGACCCCACAGGCCCAAATCATGAAGAGACATGCTTGCCAGCGTCCAGCGTGGAGACAAGACAGTGAGCTCTTGAACCCAGGATGCGCAATGTGTGGTGCAGTCTATGGGGTTCGCGCGATATTGTTGGTGCAGCCTGCATGTTGCAACGTACGTGGCGAAACTATGTAAGGTAATCCGTGTGAAGCTCTACGTTGAGCAGGGACCGACCTTCCCGGCATTCCTATAGTCCTACCGCGGAACGTTCTCTTAGAACTCAAAAATGTTCTAAGAACAAAAATAACGTTCTTAGAACATCAATCCGATGCGCTAAAACAAAACGGTCCCAACCAGAAGTGTTCAGAGAGCATTTCGCGGGAGCCACAAAAGGTTCTTAGAACAGTGCTTGGTAGGGCTATAGGCGAGCCGGGACGCTCCACCACTGCTCGACTACGTGAGGCGCAGACTGCGTGTGCAGCCCGCAGCGCGCGTGCGGTGTACGTGTGCGCCCAGAAGGACGCCAGCCAGCGCAGGGGGGCGCCCGCGGAAAGCCCACGGGGGCAGCCACCGGGCCGACATCCCAACAACGCCCCGCCAGCGCCAGGGTCAGCTCGGGCCTGCCCCCCTACAGGGGGGGATTCTGGACGACAAGTACAAGATACCAAAACATGCTCAAAAGATTCCTCAAAATACTCCAAAACCTACTCCAGATTTCGTAATAAAAGGGAGGGGGTCTGGACCCTCCAAGACAAGCCGTTTCAGACCTCCCCCGTGGGAGAACCCTCCACAACATCGCCCCCAGACCCCCCCAGGCCCTCCAAGATGGCCTGGAAGAGGCCCCCCCCGAAATGAGACCCCCCTCCCTTTCTTACGAAATCTGGAGTACTCTTGAACATCCCCCCCGTAGAGGGACATGCCCGCCTTCCCGCAGGGGGGCACGGACCAGGCGCCCACGGGCGGCGGCAGGGCCACAACCCCGGGGCTCTCCCGGCCGGCGCCCGGGGGCGAGGCGCCCGCGGGCGACGGCCGTGGGAACGCCCGGCACTCCCACGCAGCGCAGGGAGCGGCGGAGATTGAGTCGGGCATGTCCCTCTACAGGGGGAGTGTTCAAAAGTAGTCGAGCAATAGTCTGGGGCCTATTCTTGGAGTAGTTTGGGGGCACCTTGTGAATATTCGTTGAGCATTTTCCCTGTAGGGGGACAGGCCCGACCCCCTGTAGGGGGACAGGCCCGACCTAAGGCGAAGACCCGAAGGTCCCATCCGCCTCTTTCAGCGAGGAGCACCCCCTGAGCGCAAGCACTGTTTTAGGGGGAGCTGCGTCCTGCAGGGATCTTAACCGTGTCTCGCCGTTTCGGTCTCAGGGGCGCCCAGGACGGCCAACGAGGTCCCCAGGGCCGCCCCAGCCCAAGAGGCCCCCAAGATGGCCCCAAGAGGTGGAGCACGAACTGACATTTGGAGCCCTGGGCACGAAGATGGCATCCGAGAACGCCAGGAAGCCCCCACATGCCCCCAGACCAGATGCCCCCGAGAGACTCCCCAGAGGCCCCCCGGAGACCCCCAGGAGACCCCCAAGAGACCCTCAAGAGGCCCCCCGAGAGGCTGTGGACAGGAAATGCCTCCCAAGGAGATCACAAAGGCCTCTGCGAGGCGTCTTGTCCACGACCCAGGCACGGTGGCGGCTTGGGCTAGGAAGCCACCAAGTGATCGCCCACCCGCAGGGAGGGAGCGGGACAAAGAGGAAGCGGACACGGCTGGGGCCAACTGCGGCCGACCGCCAGGTGAAAAAAGAACCCCGCGGACGTCTTCGGGAAGCGAGCCGCTGACAGCGATGCATCGGCGATGCGGCGCGATCCTCCGACCCCGACTAACTACTCGGACCTGCACGGATTCCCCGGGGCCGTAGGCGACCCGAGGAGGAGGAGGAGGAGGAGAAAGAGGAGGAGGAGGAGGAGGAGGAGGAGGAGGAGGAGGAGGAGAAGGAGGAGAAGGAGGAGAAGGGGGGGAGGAGGACCAGGGGAGGGGGAGGGGGAGGAGGAGGGAAGGAGAAGGAGGAGGAGGAGGAGGCTCGTATCGAGCAGGTCATTTCTACGCCAAGAGGAGGAGGATGAGGATGAGGAGGAGGAGGAGGAGGAGGAGGAGGACGGGTCGCCTAAGCCCTTCGGAGAAACTCCCCGCTCGGACGCCATCCAGGAGGCTTAGAGCCTCTGCGTTTCCCCCGCCGAAGCGAGGCCGACAGCCGCGGCAGAGGGTGTCGCGACAGCAGGGCCGTCGCCTCGCCCCGGCTGCCGAAGCCGCCCTGCCTGCCTCGGCTGGCCAGGCCTGCCAGCCCCTCCCCTGCCACGTCCTTCAAGCAGGGGATCAGCTAAACGTCGTTCATTTCTGATCGTGCTCGTTTGTGATTGTGCTCGTTTCTAACTGTTCCTGGCCCCCCCAGTGGCCAGGAAGAGGCCCAGGGTGGCACAATTAGGAATGAAAGGGTCTTGGCCCCCAAAGATCAAGTGATCTTCGAAGAATTCGAAATTAAAAGCGTGTACATATTTACCCCGAAGTTGATGCTTCGTCTCATCTAGAACCGAAGAGAGTACACGGTTCGTGGACTGCTACGTATTCCTTCGGCGGTTCGACGAACAAAAATCCATGCTGGGGTGAATCAATTCTGCGTTTGATCTCCTACTCGAATCCTGTAAAGACGAAACCAGGTCAGGGACAGCATCGGGCCAGGACAGATCGAGGCATCTGGACCTCGTTTCTGAATCTCGGCCACAGCCCAAGCCATGCCGCGGGTGGGTGGGTGGAGGCAGCGCCGGCCGACAACCTGTCCATTCACGCTCTGCAGCGGCCCCACGCGTGCCCGCGCGCACCACGTGCTGCGCACCCCCTTCTGGACCTGCGCAGCCGACAAGGCAAGGCTATCCGGGGGGAGGGGGAGTTGAAGACCAAGAAAACTTCCTCCACATTGTGGGCCAGCGCGGCTACTTTCGTTTTGAGGTGCGCGACCGCAAGCTGGTCGACCGAAGCAGGGACGGAATTTGGTTTTCAACCGAGCAGAAGGTGGGGACGTGCGGGGCCCGACGACCCCAGCCATCGCCGGACCCTGAACAAGCAGAAGTCTCCCGCGACCCTGCGGTTCTGGAAGCGGCGCGGGGCGCCGGGGCGCTTAAGCACACGGTCTGAGCCTGTTTTTTTTTTAGACTCTGGCAAGTTTACTTGCATGGACGGGGGGGGGGGGCTGAGCCTGAAGCAAGCCGCAAACGACTTGCACGTTCGGGGGGGCGCAGAAAGCACGCAAGTCGAAAGGCACTTGCACGCTAGTATTCGCTCGAAGAGGGGCGAGTGAGGGGGAAGGGGGGGGGGTGCGAACGCCATGCAAGTAAGCTTGCCTGAATCCAAAAAAAAACAGGCTCTGGAACGGGCCGGGGCGATGTTTTTCCATGCCCAGCCCCGCCCGACCTGTCTCCGCTCTCCCAGCCTGGCCCTGCACGGGGAGGACGGGGCGTGGGCAGAGAGGACTCGGGCAGCGGCGCGGCAACGGGGAGCGGGGCGAGGGGGGGGGAGGCGGCCTTCTCAGCTTCCAGGATGGGGCGGGCCTCGGCTCGTGAGGAGGAGGGCAGACAGACAGACAGACAGACAGACAGACAGACAGAGAGACATGACAGACAGACAGACAGACAGACAGACAGACAGACAGACAGACAGACAGTCAGACAGACAGACAGACAGACAGACAGACAGACAGACAGACAGACAGACTTTGCTGTCGCGCTGGAGCGCATCCCTGGCGGAAAGGTAGGTCAGCGCCTCGGCACTCAAGAAGACCACAAGGAGGCGGGGGGGCCTTCACAGCGGCCCCCCGCCCTGGAAGGGCGCCTTTCTCGCCCCATCCCTCCTTGCGCGCGCCACCGAAGCAGGGGTGCAACATCTAATTAGCGTGCTCAGCGGGTGCAGTTCTCCGTCCCCGGCGCCAGGCAGATCTGCCCCGTCGTGCTGCAGCAAGAGCCCGGGGCGCAGCAAATGCCATCGCAGCAGACCGCGTCCTTGCCGCACGCGATGCCGTAGCCGGTGGGGCCCAGGCAGCACGAGTTGGTCTCCTCTCGGGAAGAGGCGCCGACGGTTCGGAACCCCGGCGGAGCTCGACCGCATAGCGCCGCCTCCGGGCCCCTTCCTCCACCTCCTCCTCCTCCTCCTCCTCCTCCTCCTCCTCCTCCTCCTCCTCCTCCTCCTCCACCTCCTCCCCCTCCTCCCCCCCCTCCTCCTCCTCCTCCTCCTCCTCCGCCCTCCCTCCTCCTCCTCCTCCTCCTCCTCCTCCTCCTCCTCCTCCCTCCTCCTCCTCCCTCCTCCTCCTCCTCCTCCTCCTCCTCCTCCTCCTCCTCCTCCTCCCCTCCTCCTCCTCCCCCTCCCCTCCCCCTCCTCCTCCTCCTCCTCCTCCTCCTCCTCCTCCTCCTCTCCTCCTCCTCCTCCTCCTCCTCCTCCTCATCCTCCCCCCTCCGCCTCCGCCTCTTCCACCTCCTCCTCCTCCTCCTCCTCCTCCTCCTCCTCCTCCTCCTCCTCCTCCTCCTCATCCTCCTGCTCCCCCTCTCCTCGGGTCGTAGAAAAAACCGGCTCGATACGACGAAGGGGTCGGGAGCTCCACAGCTCTCCGACGGCGGTGTATATAGACTAGGAGGCCACATGCGAACCCTTCCTACCCCACCACCCCACGATTTCTAAGCGGGGAGGGGTGGGTCACTTCGCTCGGGAGGTCCCGAACGATGTGAACCCCACCTCCCCCCTTAGCGGTCGTGGAGTGGTGGGGTAGGTTTCGCAGGTGGGCTCCTGCTGGGCATCGTGGGGCCCAGATCGGTTCCCCAGGCGCCGCTTGCACATGCATCCCAGCCTCGGATCTGAGGCCCCAGACTATGTACACTGTGGACGCCCGAAATTGGATGCGGGAAGACTGAAGGGGCCCAAGGACACACAAATAAATGCACACAAATAAAATAATACCTCACATGTTCCCATATTTTCTGGGTTTCTGTCTTCCCGCCCACTTCCCATATTTTCCCGTATTTTCTGGGAAATCGAGGATTAATTGTGTCTGTGTGTTTCTTTCCCTCCTGAAAGACATGTGTACGATGCCCCGCAGCGCGAACGTTGTCCAACACCGACAGCGGCCGCTGTTGGACAGACGACCTTTTGCTTGAATGACCGCTGCGCTTGTGATGCACTTAGGGAACATGCGCGCGGCTTGTACGCTCGTTCCAACATGGTTGCAGCATGCTTCGACTTCGTGCAATGCCAAGCAAGTCACTTGTGCTCATCCTCAGTTGTTGTGCGTAGATGTATTGACTTAGTCTGGACTCCCAAGCCTCCCTACTTCACTGAGCCCAAATCTTCCCTTACTCTCAACATCTTGACTGCAGTAGGACAGCTGGCAACCCCAGACACAACCATCCGGTGGACCGATCCCTGCTCCTCCTGGACGGCCGCCTTCGATCTCGGCCTTTCCCGGGCAAACGCCCCTCTGCTTAGCGGACGGATAACGGTACAACAGAAATGAACTCTGAGGACAGCACAACCCACCCCCACCCCCACCCAGGGCACCCACCTCCGACCTGGTGATCCAGGGTGCCCTGGGTGGGGTTGGGGGTGTATTTTTGGGCCCCGCGGCTCTGACAACCCACCCCCACCCTCACCCAGGGCACCCTGGACCACCAGGTCGGAGGTGGGTGCCCTGGGTGGGGGTGGGGGTGGGTTGTGCTGTCCTCAAACTCTTCCTCCCTCGGGGACGCCTGCCCCAAGGCGGCTGCAAAAATTATACCCCTACGTGCCACCGTAGGTTGTGTTGCATCTTCGGGGGGCCTCGTCTGTCCCGTCGCGCCCCTGTCTGCGTCGAATCTGCATCGAATCCGTGCCGAATCCATGCCGCACTCCCCGAATCCGCGTCGAATCCACGCCGCATCCGCGTCGAAACCACACCAGATCCACGTCGAGCCCGCATTGAATCCCCGCGTCGGGCACAAGCAACGACACCACTCTGGGGGACCGACGAGGCCACCCGAAGATGCGCCCCGGCGTGCGGGCGCGGCTCTCCGGCCGACCCCTGGGGCAGGCGCCCGCTGGTGGCGGACCCGCGTCTGCTCCGGGCACCGCTCTTCCCCCGCGGGATGCTTTAGGGACCCAGGGGGGCCATCCGGAGCTGGAGGCATCCTGGATGGGGTCAGGGTGGATGGGTCGGAGGATCGCGCCGCCTCGCCGATGCATCGGCGACGCCTCGCCGATGCATCGGCGACGCGTCGGCGACGCGTCGGCGACGTCGGCGACGCGTCGGCGACGCGTCGGCGACGCATCGGCGTGGAGAACATTGGTCTCGTTATCGAGCCGCATCGGCGATGCATCGGCGATGCGGCGCGATCCTCCGCCCCCATCTGCTCCGACCCCACCTTGGAGGCCTAGAGAAGCGGACCTGGGACGCAGAACAATGCCTGGGGGACTCCGACGACGCTCTGGATGTTGCTGTTTGTTGAGGGGCAACCAACGATAGGATGGGACTGGCATAGGGGGGGGGGGGGAACATCGACCTGGAATCGGCGATACATCGCCGATAGATCGGCGACAGGCCCCCGATAGTGAGTCCGCACGTTCCTGAGCAGGTTAGGGCTATCAGACCCCAGACTCCTCTTCGCGTTCCATGGGCGGTTGTGGGGGTCGATGCGTCTCCCCCAATGCCTATCCCCCCCGCTCGTTGCCCCTGATTTGTGCGCCCAGAGCTTCCGGGGTCCGTTCCCGAGACCTGCTTCTTTTTTTTGGCCCACGGGACACTGCATCTACGCATCCTGAGATCCTTCAGCTCAGCGATCTGGCCCCTGAGCGTCTCCATGGCGACTGGAGAGGCGAGGATTACTGAACTAATGGGTTTCGGTATGCAAGAACACCGGAATCCATCAGTTCAGTAATCCTCGCCTCTCCAGTCGCCATGGAGACGCTCAGGGGCCAGATCGCTGAGCTGAAGAATCTCAGGGTGCGTACTCCAGATTTCGTAATAAAGGGAGGGGGGTCTCATTTCGGAGGGGGGGTCTCTTCCAGGCTATCTTGGAGGGCCTGGGGGGGTCTGGGGACGATGTTTTGGAGGGATCTCCCACGGGGGAGGTCTGAAATGGCTTGTCTTGGAGGGTCCAGACCCCCTCCCTTTTATTACGAAATCTGGAGTATGCATCGTGATCTGTCCGCGACGCGTTCGGCAGTGGGGGTCTGGGCCCCTGGGTCCTCGCTGCCGACCAGGCAGAGGGGGCCGCACTCGAAGCTGCCCGGGGCGCACTCGCCGGCCGGCGTGTCGGCGACGCTGCAGTTCTGCCCGCTCGCCCCGATCGTTCCTGCTGGGAGGCCGCCAGCAGCCAGGACCATCCGCGCTCCTCGTACCCCCCGGCACTCCTCCTCGCTCCCTGCCCCCTCTGCTCCCAGTTGCCCTGCTCTCCCCCTCCTCTGTCGCCGCCCAAAAAGTCCTCCCCCTCCGAGCGCCTCCCTCCCTCCCGATCGTCCTCCCTGTGCTCCTCCTCGCCCTCTGCCCGAGCCCTGGGACAGAGAGATCCTCCTGTGGAGGGCAGCGTTGTTGTTACGCTTCCCCCCCCGTCGCGTCCGTGACGGGGCGGGGGCTCCGGGCGCGGGGGGGGGGTGACGGTGACGTGGCAGGCGCGGGCATGGTGCTTGCGGTAGTGCTAGTAACAGCAGTGCAGTCAACCAGTATACAGGGCAATGTTTGATACATATGATTTCTAAACTATAGATTCTAAAATACATGATCAATGTATGAATACATTGATGCATGAACTCATCGTTGTTTTTAATACTAAAACCCTGCATGTTTAATACATGACCAGCACGCGGAGCATGTATTCAAAACGGCACTGTAGTAAGGATGCGCGATGAGGATGCAAGGGCCTTGGACGCCCACTTCGAAGCTCCTCGAGCGGGGCACGGCCCCGCGAAGGTGGCGAAAGATGGACCGAGGAGGCAAGGACGCAAGGGTACCCTTGGGAAGGCTGCCCATCCTTCCTGTGCGGGCTGACTGCGCTCCGTGGACGCACTGGCCCGGGTCAAGCCGACACCTGGGTCACTCGGGCCTCGAAGGACCCTGCAACATCCTGCGGGATCCTGCAGAACGAGGACGATGGCGATAGCGATGGCAACGATGAGGGCGGCGAATAGAATCCCGATGGTGCTGACGAGGAAGGTGAGGATACACCGGCGCGCAAACATCCTGAACGTCTGCCATCGATTGCATACTTCCATATCCTGTGCGCTGTACTGTTTGGGGTTCAGTAGATTGTGCAAGGTGTTCGACTGTTTGGGGTTCAGTAGATTGTGCAATTGTGCGGTCACGCGAGCGTGGCCCGCATTGTATTACCGGACGGACTTGACACGTGCGAAGTGGGTTTGGCATGCGTGCGCGTGTCAGCATGGTCTCATGTGAGAGAAAGGCCAGCAACCGCTGGTTTTCGCATGAACACAGCGGGTCCGCGCGCGCAGAAATTTGGCAGCTTGTTGGAGAAAGCCAAAAACAACCAGGTGTCTGATAGTTTTGAACGGATATGTCTTTGGACAAGCGCGTTCCACTACTCGCAAAGTAACTGCTCATAAATGGCCTGCATCTGCCGCGAGGGATTTACGATCCATTGCAAAGAGGATGATATTTTTCCGGACGCTTGCGAATAGGAAATTTGCGAGTAACAAAACGCGCTCGGTGAGTATCGGAACGGTTAGAGGGACACGATTCGCTTGAATGGTTTTGACACGCGCGCACGGGGGCGTGCCGATGTGACAAGCATGGTGCCATTTGCTTGGCATTGCCACCACAGGAGCACATCGTATTCACGCGTGTGCACCGCATCGTATCTGTTGCAGGTGGCCGGGGATGCATACTTCTTTTTGTGCACTCGCACAATAGTGATGGTGGCCAGGGGCCGGCAATTATCTGCATTTGACTAGGGCCGGCATGTGACTGTGATGGCTATTTGTGCGCACTAGCACGATCGTGCAATGTGAACCTTGGAAACATACCTTTCCGAAGGGTGCCGATACGCCCGCGGAGCCCGGGGAAAGGGCGGTGTACTCGAATCCTTCGTAGAAGGAACATACAAGGCGCAGCTTACCATTGGCACGAGCCATCAGGCAACGCATGGCACCAGCACGCCCATGAGGCACCAAGCATAGCACGCCCGCGCAAGAAAGACCCCCCACAAGGAACCATCGGGCACAAACAATAAAGCGATGACCATGTGGCACCACGCGGGTACCGCCGACTGCGCCCCAACCACAGGGAACCAACAGCACGGCTTGGATGTTGAGATATCGACTGGGAGCGGGCGACTGCGCCCTACAGTGAATAATAAGGCACCAATGCGCCAACCATAGGGGACCGAGAGTGTGGCACTGACCGCAGCACCAGGGCCAGTTCCCTAGAACCCAAATGAGAAACCAGATCAGTAAAAACTGTTAGGGGGAGATCTACTGGTGTGCCACCGTATCCACCGTTCGTAATCCGGATGGGACAATCATCGCCCCGCCCCTTGGATCCGTGGGGGGGGTTGGGCACGGGCTGTCGGAATGGGTGGAGGGGGGGTTGGAGGAAGAGGAGGAGGATGAGGGGGACGAGGATGGAGGGTGGCGGGATTGGGCAGGCTCAATCAGAAGGTTAATCACCCCCATCTTGATACAAAAAAAAGCCCATCCAGAGCAGTGTAAAGTCGCCAAAGCTCACACAGCTGTGAATGTCAGAAAGATTCCGCACACACAAACACAAATACTACGGGCCTGGAACTATTTGCCGGACCTCATTGCTCTTCTGGGCGCTCTCGAGTTGTGCGGCAGGAGCCTCCATCAAGCCAAAACTGTCAGACGACGATTTTGGCGATTTCGGAAACCCTGAAGCCAAAGACGTTTTCATCTCTCGGGGGCGCACGTTTTACTCTCGCCGGCTTCCGCCGAGCTTCCGCTGGCTTCCGCCAGCGGATGCTGCCTCGTTTTACTGTCGCCAACTTTCCGCCGACCTTCCGCCGCGGAAGAGATGACAACAGAAGCAAGGCCCTTTGGTGAACGCCCCGTTTGCGTTTCGCGTAAATGCGCCTCAAAAACTGCGCCAACCCAGGTGCCCTGAACCATCACAGCAAAAAAACGGTACCAATTCCCTCGAAGAGGCTCCGAAGCTCTAAATTGCACACAAGCCGGAAGAAACCATTGGTCCACGGCCCAGACACGGTGGCGTGGGTCCCCCTTGGGGATGTGTCCCGCGCCTTGAACTAGTATGTGAATGAATCGTCGGTGGTCGATGGTCCTGGTATCACGCAGAGATCGTCCATGCAGCACGAGTGTTCTTCACAACAGATGCCGCCACAACATGTGGCGCTCTTGTCGCACGCGATGCCGTAGCCCGTGGGGCCCAGGCAGCACTGGTTGGTCTCCTTTCAGGCGGCGCCAAGTACCCACGCACTCGGATACCGGCTAGGTCAAGGTCCAGTCCATGGGTCCTACTTTTTGTCGCCTGTCGTTTGTTTGACAATCCAGGGGACCAGGAAAACATGTTTTCGATTGAAATCGCTTGGGGGTATCGGACTCCCGATCCTCGCTGCCGGCGATGCAGAGAGGGCCGCACTCGAAGCTGCCAGGGGCGCAGGTGCCGGCGACCGTCTCGGAGACGCTGCAGGTCTCCCCGTTCGGCGCGAGCGATCCTGTATAGGGGCCGCCAGCTGTACACTGGCCTTAGGCGTTCCTCCGCTCCTCCTCCTCGCCGTCTTCCTGCTCGTCCTGCTCCTCCTCCTCCTCCTCCTCCTCCTCCTCCTCCTCCTCCTCCTGCTCCTGCTCCTTCTCCTCCTCCTCCTCCTCCTCCTCCTCCTTCTCCTTCTCACACTCCTCGGTCCATCCCCTCCTCCTGGTTTTGGCTCAAGCCATTCTGACTCAAGACAAGGAGCCCATCGCCGCCTGGGCAGTTCCTGCCCCTCTGGTTCAAAACTTCCACGGTGCCACAATCCACAGGTGGCATTCGCGAGCGCAAGCCACGCGTGCGCTTCAATACGCCGGGAGTCGAAGCTGATGATTGGAAATCCGAAACCAGCAGCCGTGCTGGTCAGAGTCGTCGTAAGAGCCAGCGGCCGTGGAGCTGGCTTACATATTGCCAGGTTTGGAAAGGGGCCCAGATTCTTCGCGCGCCCGACGAGTGTATGAACTGTCACTGCTGACCAAAACCTACCTCTTCTGGTACTGCCTCCACTGCGGCCGTGGTTGAACGTGGCGCAGGTTCAACGCTCCCGCCCGAAGCGCTAATTTTTTCTGAGAAGTCGCAGCTGATTTTCCAGAGTCCCAAGCCAAGCAAACGGGGGCGTCTTACCAGGCTGCACATATCATGCCTCAAGAACTTCGGAGGCCACGGTGGCGGAGGCAGCCCAGCGCGTTGCCGCGAGCGCTGCCCGACAAGCAGGCGTCTGTCTTTCACTTTGATAAGCTCTTCACGGAAGCGCTGAATTTGGACTCGAGAACTCAACTTAAGACGCGCTCGATCACGGCGGCCCCGAGTCCACCGCAGAAGATAAATCATGAGGACCCTGACTCCACAGCAGAAGATCGAGCAAGGTTTACAAAACCAACGCATACCTCACGTCCCCATTCACGGAGGTCGCCGCTAAGGCTAAGCAACACCGCGAGGCACACGATGAAATAATCAAGGAGCAGCAACAGAAAGAAGCGCAGGGAGGAGGAGGAGGAGGAAGAGGAGGATGAGGAGGAGGAGGAGGAGGAGACTAAGCAACAAAACGAAGCGCAGGACCGACACTGGGCCTGCAGCCGGTTCGGATGACGCCGCGGAGCCGTCGACGGCTCCAGCGGGAGCGGAAGCTGCCTCGTCCCCAGAACATCTTCCCAGTCCGGTGCAGTCCATCGACGAGGCGGCCAAGGCACGAGTCCGACAGAGGAGGCTGCAGTCACCCAGAAGCATCCAGAAGGCGGCCCTGCTGCTGACGCGGGAAAATCGCGGTGGCACGCGTGTCCCTTATCTCTGGAGGGAAGACAACTGGGAGCAGGAGCTTCTGGTGTCCCGTTGTTTTCTCTGCTCCTGCTGCTCAGCAGGGGGCCTCTTCGAAGTTCAAGGATCTCTTCTCGCATCTACGCGCTATCGTATCTATGATGTCCAAGTGGACCCCCAAGCATGCAGATGGATTCAAGGGACCCTAGAAGACGTGCTGTGCGGGAGTTTGAACATCGCGTGAAGGTGCGGGCGTTCACTCCATGTGCAAGATACGAATTTGCGCGGGGTGCAAAATCGTTGCTCGCAGAAGTAACGCCACGCGAACTGGGGGCACCCCAGCCTGAGTGGTGGCCGTTGCTCGTTTTACCTCCGCCTCCTCCTCATCATCTTCATCATCATCAGCATAATCATCATCAGCAGCATAATCATCATCATCATCATCATCATCATCATCATCATCGTCATCATCATCATCAGCATCAGCATCAGCATCAGCATCAGCATCAGCATCATCATCATCATCATCATCATCATCCTCATCCTCATCCTCATCCTCATCATCATCATCATCATCATCATCATCAGTGCCCCTCCTTTGAGTGGAAACTGGTGAAGCCCACTGGTCGCTGGCTGATGTCTACACTCCGCCGACGTGGACTCAATGTTTCACACTTTCCTGTATGTTCGCATGCGAATGTAGGGCTCAGAAGGTCTAGTGCACGGCTCCTAAATGGGGGGGGCAGCATACAGCCCGTTGGCTGGCTGACTTGTAGACACATGTTCACCCTGTGATACGGCCTGGCTGCCCGCGACGCCAACAACACCAGGGCGAAGAAATGCGAAGAGGCAAGGGGGTGGTCCTTGTTGGCGGCGCGCACAAGGGGGTGGGGGGAGGGGGGAGGGCTTCTTAGAAGCAGGCTCCTTCTCAGAAGGCGCCGGCCTTACCTCTATAGATAAGGCCCTCGCCTTCTAAGAAGCAGGGGTGCTTCTAAGAAGCCTCCCCCCTCCCCCCACCCCCCTCTGCGCGTGGCTGACCTTGGCGGCGTGGCCCCCCCCTCTCGATCGACACATCCCCAACCTCCAGCTTGGGGGGGCATCGTGGACCTCCTCGCCGGGGGTGGGCTCCGCGTGCTCCGTCTGCCCAAGGGCTCCGCGCTCCGCGGCCGCCCTCAACCCCTCCCCTCCTCCTCCTCCTCCTCCCCTCCTCCTGCCTCCTCCCTCCTCCTCTCTCCTCCTCCTCCCCTCCTCCCCTCCTCCTCCTCCTCCTCCTCCTCCTCTCCTCCCCTCCTCCTCCTCCTCCTCCCCCTCCTCCTCCTCCTCCTCCCTCCTCCTCCTCCTCCTCCTCCTCCTCCTCCTCCTCCTCCTGCTCCTCCTCCCAGCTGCAGCTGGCCCGCATCATCGGGATGCGCGATGCGGATGCGGGGGCCTCGGGCGCCAATGTCGAAGCTTTCCGAGCGGGGCGCGGCCCACGGACGTCGCCAGGGAGGGGCCGAAGGTTGGGGGGGCGGAAAGATACGGATACGTGTTGTCCCCAGACCTCTCCTGGGGTGCGTTCTGACCAGAATTTCGAGGCGAATCCAGCGGTGACAACGAGGATTCCCCAGGAGGACCAGGAAAGGCCGAAAACGAAGGGGGACAACACGTATCCGTATCTTTTTGTCCCCCGATGAAGGGACAAGGGAGGCAGGAGCACCCCTGGGGACGGTCGCCCAGCGCTGCTGTGCGGGCTGACCGTGGCACCCCGGCCTCGCCCCTCCCGCGCCGTGCGTTCGCCGGCGCCGCGGCAGGGAAGAAGCCCGTCGGTGGGGAGGAGCAGACAAGCCCGGAGAGCGGATGGTGTAGAGTGGGTTCTTCACAGGCGCCATTCAAGCTCGACGAAAAATGCCTTGGTTCCTGGAGCTCTGGCTGGCTCAAACTGGTCAGTCTGGCCTCTTCTTGCTTTACATTGAGAGGAGCGGCACCCGCTCCGGAAACGTAGTCACACTCGCACTCTGCTGGATGCCGGCCGATGCCCGTGTAGAGTGGGTTCTGGGCCCTCCCAGAAGAACTACAAACGCGTAAAAGCCATGCCGAAGCTTGAAGTCGGAAGGGGAAGGCACGAGAGATAGAGCGGGATCGGGAAATCCAGAGGTACCTACCTCAGACGGCCAGTGTGTAGCCGCACTCAGATTATTGTGAAGAAGAAGGGCTGACAACATGCTGCAGCAGGCCATCATCGTACCGTTAGTGCCAGCCAGAGACTGGAAGCTGGGTCGAAGCGCATCCTGACGAGACAAGAGATGGATGCAATTCTTGAAGAAGGCGGCTGCAACTCGAACCGCTGTCTGCCTCACCATGGTGCGGAAACGGACACTCTGAATGCCGAGAAAGAGCCGCGCTCAGCATAGACCCGCGCCCGCCCCGTTTCGAGGTCGCCCACCGCCCCCCCGCGCCGCGCACTCGGCCCGCTGTCCGCGCGAGCAGAGCCGGGCGCGTCGAGCTTTCAGCGAAGGATTGGCCCCCGCAGCTTCCGCCTTCGCCGTCGCCCTGCAGACTCTCCTGTCCTTCTCCTGATATTCCTGTTGACGCTGCTCAGCCTCCAACCTCCCCCCCATCCTCCTGCTCCTCCTGCTCCTCCTCTGCCGAGTCCAGGCCCTCCCGTGCATAGTCACGCCTGTGCACTCGCCCCTGCTCAACGTGTGAGTGCATCGTGTGCAACCCCTGGTCCTGGTATCACACAGACATCGTCAATGCAACAGGAGAACTCGTCGCAGCACATGCCGCCACAGCATTTAGCGGTCTTGTCACACGCGATGCCGTAGCCTGTAGGGCCCTCGCAGCACTGGCTGGTCTCCTGACAGGGGAGCGCAATGTATACTCACGCGTGTACCAATAGTGGCAAAACCAGTTTCCCTGGGCCGTGTTTTGTCGCGGTTCGCTTCCTGATGGTCCGGGGGACCCCGATCAACTGTTTGTTTGGAGGGCTTGTGGGGACATCGGACCCTCCGTCCTCGCTTCCGGCGATGCAGAGGGGGCCGCACTCAAAAAGGCCGGGGGCGCAGCTGCCAGCGGGCGTGTCGGCGACGGTGCAGGTCTCCCCTTTCGGCGAGATCGTTCCTGCACGGGTGCCGCCAGCTGCACATTGATCCTCCGCTCTCCTACCCCTCCTCCTGGTGACCAAGGCCTCGTCCTCGTCGCACCACCAGACGTGTCCGTAGGGCGGACTGAGCACTTCGCCCGGATCGTCCTCACAGCCCATGGCCCTCGAGCTTGACATCCCCGGCAGTTGTACAAAGAGGGCGGACGGGTCGCTGAACGTGCATCTCGCCCTGGCGTCGCGCACACTCGTCTTAAAAGCTTCAACAAGCCACAAGGATGCAAGGCGGTCCATTTTCAAAATCTGGCTCTCGCCAGAGCGCCGCGCGAACTGGTTTCAAACTTCCCTGCAAGCAAAAGAGTGGATCACGTCTTCAAGGTTGCAAGGTGGAAGGGCGACGCCTGTGATTGTTGAGGATGCGACAATCGCTTGATGTTCCCTTGAAGTTCTGACCGCGAACGAAGCTGGATGCAACACGTACACGGATGGACGGCGGTTCCTGTTCACATCGGGGCTCCCGCTCGACACTTCCTTGAACGCTACGTACGGCTCTATATCCTCTTCCTCCTCCTCCTCCTCCTCCTCCTCCTCCTCCTCCTCCTCCTCCTCCTCCTCCTCTCTACATCTTTAAACTCATAACAATACAGATACAGGCCCTTCCTTCCCCAAGCGGGACCCTCGCCTGAATGACAGACACGCGCGACACTCGACTGCCAATGAGGAACTCCCTGCAGTGACAAAGGAAAAACATGTAGAGGCTTATGACGGTCGGATGTGCTGAACCATCGTTGATGCATCCTGTGGCCAATATGCTCCCTCTTCTCCTCCTTGTCCTTCTCGTTCCTTCCCCTGCTGAAGTCAACCCGTAGCAGAAGAATGCGCGGTGAGGGTGCAACCGGCTTGGAGGGCCATGCTGACGTGTTTACGATCGAGCCAAAGGAGCAAGGATGCAGGGATCCCCTGGGGAAGGCTGCCCATCCTTACTGTGCGGGTTGACCGTACTGGCCCCTCACCCTCGTCATCGTTCGCCTTCGCCGCACGAGAGCAACGGAGAACATGTGCGGACCAAGCGTCCCTGGGCGCACACGAGCATCACATGCGGAGCCTTGCCAGCACTGCCTGGCTCAGGAGGCAATGTCGATCCGCACCCCGTGCTCATGCTCTGCCTCTTTGTCCAGCCCCCTCCTCACTCCCCGCTGCCAACCTATACCGAATCGTTTCAAACGCCACCTTTCCTGCCCAAATCTACGGTAAGTCTGGCAAGCTTGGTGTGGGTTCCGCAGCGGCGACGGGGTGGTCAAAAGCGGGGATCAACGTGTGAAGGTATCGTCTGCGATCCCTGGTCCTGGTATCATACAGACATCGTCAATGCAGCACGAGTGCTCCTCACAGCAGATGCCGCCACAACATGTGGCGCTCTTGTCGCACGCGATGCCGTAGCCGGTGGGGCCCTCGCAACACTGGCTGGTCTCCTCTCTGGGGGCGCAAACGTGTCCACGGACACCGATACTCGCCAAGCCAGTTTCCCTGGGCCGTGTTTGGTCGCGGGTCGTTTCTTCGTGGTCCTGGGGTCCGAGAAACCTGCTTGCTTGGCGACGCGGTCCCCTGGTCCTCGCTGCCGGCGATGCAGAGGGAGCCGCACTCGAAGCTGCCAGGGGCGCAGCTGCCAGCGGCCGTGTCGGCGACGGTGCAGGTCCCGTGCGCCCCGATCGTTCCTGCGAGGGGGCCGCCAGCTATACATTGGCGTTCCGCACTCCTCCTTCTCGTCCTTATCCTTCTCCTTTCATCCCCCTGCTCCTGCCCCTGGTTCTCCGCTTCCTCCTCTTCCCAGGACGCCAGCCGAGCGTCCAGGACTGAGAAAGCCGCAAATTGGAGCGTCACTGCCCTTCCTCGAGACAGGCTAGGTCTGGTGTCTCGCCACTGCGCGGTGAAAGCTCGACTTGTGGAGATTGATCTGGCGAGCGATCGATGATCTCGAGGGCTTGCATCAGGACACCCTGGCGATGCTCGGGCGAGAAACCATCAGGTCGAGAGGGCCCTGGGGAAAAATCGGAGGTGCACATCTGGACAAGGCCGCGAGGCGCGAGCTCGCCAGCCGCGACGGCACCTAGGCAAGACCCCGCCGCTGACGAAGGGCGAGCGGGCTGGCGTCTGAAGTACACAGGCCGTAATGGAGGAGGAGGAGGAGGAGGAGGAGGAGGAGGAGGAGGAGGAGGAGGAGGGGACTCACCTCGCGGACAAGGCCTCGTGGCGGGGCGGAGGCCGCCCAACGCCCCGCGCGCCCGCGGAGGCGGAGGCCGCCGCTGCCACCGCTGCCGCGGAGGAGGGGCGAGGGGCGAGGCGAGGGCACCCGAGCGGGCCTGCTCCGGGCCAGGGTCGCAGTTGTGCTGCGGGGGCTCTCGACACCATCCCGACGGGCCTCTCCTCCTCCTCCTCCTCCTCCTCCTCCTCCTCCTCCTACTCCTCCTCCTCCTCCTCCTCCTCCTCCTCCTCATCCTCCTCCTCCTCCTCCTCCTCCTCCTCCATCTCCTCCTCCTCCTCCAACTCCTCCTCCTCCTCCTCTTCTTCCTCCTCCTCCTCCTCCTCCTCCTCCTCCTCCTCCTCCTTCTCCTTCTTGTCCACATCGTCTTCCTCCTCCGTGGCCGCGAGGTCTTCGTGCCCGGGAAGTGTTCTGGGCGAGCCGCAGGTGCGGTCCGTGCTGTGAGGGGGCCACGGGTCCCAGCTGTTCGAGAGCTGCCAGCCACAGCCAGAGCGGCTGGCGCGCACCCCCTCCAAAGACGCTCTGGGCGGGATCGCACTCTCGAGAAGGCACAGGGCACTTGGAAGTGCCACGTCTGGACGCTGCCATACCCCGTCCACTTCTCCGCTCGGGCGATGCCGCGGCACGGCGTGCGTTTAGCGTTACGTGTTCATCCACTCTCTTTCACAAGGCTTGCTGCGGCAGGTCCTGGGCCCTTTGCCCCGAGTCGGGGTGCCAGCCGCAAGGGATGTCGTCGTCGTGCCACCCAGGGTCGTAAGGTCCCTGACTCTCGTCGCCGATCCAGGCACGTGCGCCCGTGCTCTCCTGTCACCAGACTCGGCGCGCTCTTTCATCCGGGACTGCTGCTCCTGCCCCCTCGACCTCCACCCTCGTCGTCGCCATACTTCTCCTCCTCCTCGCTTCCTCCACCCGACCTTGTGGTTGCTGTTTTCGCTCCTCCTCATCCTCTGCATCGTCTCCCACTACCTCACGGGATTAACCTCCTCATCATCCTCTGCATCGCCTCCTTGATTATAATACTATCCAGGTCACGGGATAAGCCTTGCCAGGACTAAGAAGCTCAGAGGACAACTCTGGTTCACGCAGCCCCCTGCTCCTGCTCCCGCACCGCTGCTTCACCTCCTTGTCTCCCTCCTCCTCCTCCGCCTCCTCCTCCTCCTCGCCCCGCGACCAACCCATGTCAAAACGTACCACACTCCACGATGCCTGCCTGACAGGTAAGCATAACTAATGCGAGCCAGCGAGAACAACAATCAGTGAGCTATTACGCTGTAGAGACGAAAGCTGTGCAGTGCAAGCTGTGTGGTGCAAGCCGCGTCGTGCAAGCTAGGCACGGTGTGTGCCACGGAGATAAGAAATGCGCGGTGAAATCTATGCGTGGTGTGAGTTGGAGGTGAAGGCTATGCCGTGCAGGCTACGCTGTGTGCAGTGCTCAGAACGAGTGATACGGTGTAGGCTATGTGGTGTAGGCTGCGCGGTTTACGCTGAGCGCGCACGGGGCGCCGACGAGCGCCCCACAGGGCGGCGCGGGCGAACGTGACGCAACCTCCGCGAACCCGCCCAGCACACGGGGCACCCACGAGCGTCCACGAGGCGGCACGTGCGGTATCAAGGGGCCCAGGGACACGCAGATAGATCTGCACAGCCCCCAAGATACCCCATATGTGTTCTGCTGTTTTCCGGATCGTCGTCCTCCCCCCCCACTTCTCATGCTTTGGACGCCCGAAATGGGTACAGAAAACATGGGTACAATGCCCAACAACAAATGGTGTCCCAAGCCAACAGCGGCCGCTGTTGGGCAGGCGGCCTTCTCTCGAATAGACACAGGCCGCGGACAGCTAATGCTGTTCAAAATGAGCAAGAACTGCTGTTGGGCATTGTACCCATTCTTTCAGTACCCATGTCGGTCGTCCCGACTTGAGAGCCACAAGAAAGAACCCCTAAGTGCAACTACTGCTCGAGTGCCAAATTCGAGTCATGCACGCGCGCTCCACGCGCGACGTGCTTCTGCATATAGACCCGAGGGTAGTGGGGGGGATGCCAAGGGAAAAGAAGCAATCGCCAGAAGTTCGTGCCTCGACCCATACCTTAGGGCAGACTCCGCAAACCACATGGCCAACCCTCCGCCCTCCCTCTTCCCTCCCTCGCCGGGAGCCACATGGCAAAGGTATGACGACTCGAAGGGGGGCCCAGAATGACCCCACGACCCACGCTAAGCACCAGATAATCCCAGTGTGCCCTCCATGAGGGCCCCTGGGCAACCCTAAGATGCTCCCCACGACATCAGCGTGACTCCTGTGAGCCCAGGATGGCCCGAATATTACCCCCATGACCCAAACATGACTCCATCCATACTGGCCTCAAGGCGACTGCTGACATCCGGACAAACTCAAAATGATCTTACCAGGCTCAAGCGAGTACAATACAGCCCGAATCCAACAGGAATCGCATCTGCGCTCACAGGGTGTGCCTCACATGGCCCGTGACCTCAGCATCGTCCCTCGGTGACTGCTTCATCCCCAGACGACTCTACGAACCCATGATTCAAACATGACCTCACGGTGGCCCCGTGACGCCAGAATCATCCCATGCCCCCCATCATCCTCCTTCTGCTCGTCCTTCTCATCATTATGGGGCCTCTTGTTGACACATGTTGAGCTGTGCCAAGGCTTCCCTTGCATCTCAGTCGCGATGTTTGGCAACGTAGGGGCTCTCCTGGGACAGTCAGGATGCCTTCACTAGGTTTTGTGGGCCATTGTCGACGTATTCTTGGGGCTCTCGTCGGGCCTTCCTCGGCTGTCTGGAAAACAGACTGGGATCGTTTTGGGTCGTCTTGGGGACACCACTGGGGGCCTCCTGCCTTCGCTTGGATGCCTCTCAAGCATCATTTGGGCCGTTTTGGTTCGTGCTGGGCCCGTTTGGGGATTCTCCGGGGGGTGTATGGGCATCTTCCTGGCCGTTTGGCAAATTTCTTTGGCCATCTTGGGTCTCTCTGGAAGCCCCCTCGGGCCGTCCCACATTTGAGAGCTCTCTTGGGGCCGTTTTGCTCCTGCTTGAGCAGTTCTTGGGACGCGCTTTGGCCGCTTTGGGCCCTGTGGAGCCTGCCGGCAGCCTTCGAAGCCGGCACTGGCCGACCTTGTGTGCCGAGGCGGTGGGCGGCAGAAGCCAGGATCAACTTTTCGCCCTGGACTGGCGTGTAAGTGTATCGTCCGCCAGTTGCCGTCTGCACAGTGTCCAAAGCGATGCGTGGTGAGGAGTTGCTGCGTGTCTGAGGCTGATAAAAAAAAAAACAACAATCTCGTTCGGATGCTTGCGCGTTTCGAACGATGGCAGGTCCTGGTATCACACAGACGTTGTCCATGCAGCAAGAGTGCTCCTCGCAGCAGATGCCGCCACAACATGTGGCGCTCTTGCCGCACACGATGCCGTAGCCGGTGGGGCCCAGGCAGCACGAGCTGGTCTCCTCTCGGGGGTCTACTAGGCGGGGGCGGGGGCTCGCCTGCACCGGCCCTGGCCAGGCCGACGACGACGACGCCGACGACGACGCCGACGACAACGACGCCGACGCCGACGAGGATGACGACGACGACGACGCGAGGACGAGCGCTGCGACGGCAAAGGCTCGCAAAGGCCACGATCGGTGGGTACACGACCTCCTGGCCGGGAGGGGCCACCCACACCACAAGCCTTAGGTCGGGCATGCCCTCCTGGAGGCGTATATCACAATCGTCCCCATACGATTTGTGGACGATGTTTGACGATTCCTCCTGTGGAGGGACATGCCCGCCTCAACACCAGCGCAGACGAGCTCGCAGAAACTGCTCGTGGAGGCCCGCGCGGATCTCTGGACTTACCAGCCTCGAACGTATCCCTATCCCTAAGATTGACACGCCAAAAGGCGATGACAATCTTAGGGATTCGCCCTCAACAAATAAGGGAATCCCTAAGATTGGCATCGTGATGAGGAGGTGCCCAGCATAGGGATAGGGATATGTTCCAGGCTGGTAATGGACCTTCCCTCCGGAGCGCCGCCGCGCCGAAGCGAGGAGGCAGGGGGCGGCGCCCACGCAGGGCAGCCGCGCGGACGTCCGCGAGCTCGCGCTGCTGCTGCAGCCTGCTGCTCGGCGCGCGCCCTCCGGCCCGGCGGCTTCTGACACCACGTGTTCCATCGGGCCTGTCCCTCTACAGGTAAGTCGGGCCTGTCCATCTACAGGAGGAATCTTCAAAAATAGTCCAAAAATAGTCTGAGGACTATGTGTTGCATAGTTTTGGGCATCTTTTGAACTTTTTAGCTTCTTGAAAAAGTTTTCGTCAAAAATTCCCCTGTAGGGGGACAGGTTCGACCTAACTCTACAGGACAAATATTCCCAAATAGGCAAACAATAATCCGGGGACGATTTGTTGACGATGTGCAAGCATTTTGGGGGTATGTCTTTGATGATTTTTTCCCCAAACAGCTTGCTGAACGGGGTGCTGTAGTGATAGAAGCTAACGCCAACCGATGGAATTCAAGGCAGAGACGTCCTCAAAAGATGTGGTGGTCCGGGCCGTTTCGCCTGAGACATCCTCGCAACTCTCGTTTCTGAGTTGTCTGGTATTGGGCGTTTCGCGTGAGACGTCCTCCAAATTCTGAGTTCCCAGATGCCGCGCAAGAGGTGGTCCTGCCCGTTTCGCCTGAGACATCCTCGAAACTCTGAGCTTCCAGATGCCGCGCGAGAGGTGGTCTGGCCCGTTTCGCCCGAGACATCCTCCAAACTCTGAGCTCCTAGATGCCGCGCGAGAGGTGGTCCGGCACGGATCGCCTGCGACATCCTCCAGACTCCGAGCTCTGAGGTGCCGTGCGCGAGGTGGTCCGGCGCGTTTCGCCTGAAACATCCTCGCAACTCTGAGTTCTGAGATGCCGCGCAAGAGATAGTCCAGCCCATTTCGCCTGAGACATCCTCAAAACTCTGGGCTCCGAGATGCCGCGCAAGAGGTGGCCCAGCCCGTTTCGCCTGAGACATCCTCCAAACTCTGAGCCCTAATATGCCGTGCGCGAGGTGGTCCCGGCCCGTTTTGCCTGAGACATCCTCGCAACTCTGCGCTCTCTGATGCCGCGCGAGGTGGTCTGGCCCGTCTCGCTTGAGACATCCTCCAAACTCTGAGCCCCGAGATGCCGCCCAAGAGGTGATCCGGCCCGTTTTGCCTGAGACATCTTCACTTTTGCATTCCGAGATGCCGCGCGAGAGGTGGTCCGGCCCGTTTCGTCTGTGACGTCCTCGAAACTCTGAGCTCTGAGCTGCCGCGCAGGAGGTGGTCCAGCCCATTTCGCTTTAGACATCCTCGCAACTCTGACCTCGGAGATGCCGCGCGCGACGTTGTCCAGCCCGTTTCGCCTGAGACATCCTCGCAACTCTGAGCTCTGAGATGCCCTGCGCGAGGTGGTCTGGCCCGTCTCGCCTGAGACATCCTCGCAACTTTGAGCTCTGAGATGCCGTGCGCAAGGTGGTCCGGCCCGTTCCGCACAACACATTCTCGCAACTCTGAGCTCCCAGATGCCGCGCAAGAGGTGGTCCAGCCTAAGGGCCCAGAAAACCACATGTTACATATCCCCCCTGGGACCCTGAGAGCCCCAGGAGGCCCCAGAGAGCTTCAGGAGGCCGCAGGACGCCCAGGACAGGCCCCAGGGGTCCCCAGGAGATTCCCAGGAGGCTCCCAGGAGGCCCCAGGCCCCCTATCAGAACGTGTCAAATTAATACACATCCGGTGCCGATTCGCTGATTTTTCCTGCTATTGTGCCACCCCCCATCTTGGGGGGCCCAGACGGCCACATGTTAGATATCCCCCCCTGCCCCTGGGAGCCCCAAGAGGCTTCAGGAAGCCCCAGGTGGAGTCCAGGAAGCCACAGGACGCCCAGGAGGAAGCCCCAGGAGGACCCCAGGAGGCCCCAGGAGGCCCCAGGAGGCCCCCGCAACTCGGACCTCTGAGACGCAGCGCTCGAGGTGGTCCGGCCCGTTTCGCCTGAGACTTCCTCGCAGCACGTTTCGCCCGAGACATCGTCGCAACTCTGGGGTCCGAGATGCCGCGCGCGAGGTGGTCCAGCCCGTTACGCTGGAGACATCCTCGCAACTCTGAGCTCCGAGATGCCGTTCGGGATGAAGAAGAGGTGGAGGAGGAGGAGGAGGAGGAGGAGAAGGAGGAGGAGGAGGAGAAGGAGATAGAAGGGAGAAGGAGGAGGAGGAGGATGTGGATGAGGGAGCAGGCAGGAGGAGGGGGAGGAGGAGGAGGGAGAAGGAAGGCAGTTGCAGGAGAGGACCTAACGGAAAGCGAGTTGCAGGAGAAGACCTACCCTGTTTGGGGGATACTGCACTGCAGCTATAATTTATAACATGTTTCGTCCAAAATCCGCCTGTATAGGGGACGCGCCCGACCTAACATCACGTGGAACGCCCGACCCCGGTCGACCGACGGCAGCCGCGCGGAAACTCGGAACAAACTCCTGCTGGTGCGGGGCCTGCTGCTCGGCTCGTGCCTTCGTCTGGCCCGCCCCGTCGGCCTCCGTGACGCCACGCGCGGGTCGGTCCCCGAGGGGCCGCAGCCCTTTCGTCTGACGATCGGGATCCTCCTTCGGTGCTGCCCGAGCTCACATCGCGAGCAGCGCACGTGTCCACGTCCACGCCACGCGCGGGTCGGCCCCCGAAGGGCCGCAAGCCTTCCTGTCTGACGGTCGGGGCCCTCCTTCGGAGCTGCCCGAGCTCACGTCGCGAGCAGAGAGCACGTGTCCACGTCCAAGCCCTCGCGGCCGGGACTCCGGGGCGCGCTCTCACGGAGACGCGGTCGCACGGATCCGCGACAAGACGCCCCGCGTCCGCGGGGCGGGGGCCAGGCCCGCGAGGCCGCGGATACGGATGAGAGCGCGCGCGCGCGCGCGCGTGCGCGTGCGCGCGCGCGTGCGTGCGTGCGTGCGTGCGTGCGTGCGTGCGTGCGTGTGTGTGTGTGTGTGTGTCTTTGTGAGTGTCTTTGTGTGTGTGCGTGTGCGTGTGCGTGTGCGTGTGCGCGTGCGTGTGCGTGTGCGTGTGCGTGTGCGTGTGCGTGTCCCACGATCTCAGGCCACCCGTTACCTCAAGCCCTGAACGCTCGCGCAAGCGTCGCTGCCGCGCCGACAAGGCACAGACTGGCCGTACGACTCCCTGGCAGGGCCAGGGCGGAGTGGCATCCACCGATCGCGGGTGTCCAGGATGACTAGGCTTCGGCTTGCGCTCTGACAGCCCCCCGGGGTAATCTCATGGCTGGCCTCGACAGGCCCCGCGCAGTCCCCGGTGGCTTCTGCAGGCTCTCGAGCAGCCCTGGGCGGCCTCGACATCCCGGCGCGGCCTCCGGCGGCACCCCTGGGGCGCTCCCGCCCCCCAGCGGTGGAGGTGGGGAGGCCGCCCCGGTCTTCCTCGGGAGCCCTGCCGAGGCCAGCTGGGACTTCCCGTTGGGCGTTGCTGAACGGGGGGGGGTAGCTGTGGGGGAGAGAAGCGAGCACCGTTAGTGCCCCTTGCGGGCCCCAGCGGACCTCTTCGGGGCCCCTCTGGGGCACAAAAGGCCCACCTTTCTTCACCCCCCCACTTATCGCACCCCCCCCCATTCCGCATCGCCCGACGGGTTGGGAAAGGGCCGTCCGTGCGCACCTCGAAGCCTTACCTGGATCCAGGCCCCTGCAAACGGGGCACTAGGCAACGGGCCAGGCTGAGGGGCGTTCCCAATGGCGTTCTCAAAAGATCGGTTGGCCGCGCACAGGTGCGAGGTACCCCCCCCCCGCCCAAAGTGATGATGATGTCTCTGCGTCTTCGTCGCACCGATGTACAGTGCGGGCGCGGCCGCAAACCTGAGGGGAAACCCGGAGCACCCTGAACGCAGCCGCTCCTTCCCCAGCTGCGGCAAGCCGCCGCGCGGCGCGCGGAGCGAAGACACCCAGGAGACCCTGACGAAGAGCAGGTTTCTTGATGCGCGCCCCCCCTGTATCGCGCACCAGTGCGAGGTAAATGAAGGGAAACTAGGACACACAAATTCGCCGGCCCAACGGGCCAGAGGCGTGCTAAGATCTCCGGTAACTACTAACAATATTTCTAGTTCGCGCGCGCGGGGCGGCCCCTGGGGGCCCCCGGACGAAAAAAAACCCGGGCAATCCCCGGCTGATCCCCGGGCGATCCCCCCGGGGGAGGCTATTTTTCGCCACCCCTCACGAGGATCGTGGCCTCCGAGGGGGTGGCTGCAATCGACTACCCCCTCTCCTGCCCCAAGGGGCCCCCAAGAGCCCCCCAAGAGGCCCCAGGGGAGCCCAAGACGCCTCCGAGGAGCCCCAAGAGACCCCCAAGAGACCCCCAAGAGGCCCTTAGGAGGCCCCAAAGAGGCCCCCACGCGGCTTCAAAGAGGCCCCATAGAGCGCTCGAGGGCGGGCGAAATGAGCGAAGCGATGAATAAATATACACAAATAACCAGATTCCCCTTACTTTCCTATATTTTCGAGTTTTTTGTCTTCCCCCCCACTTCCCATATTTTCCCAGATTTTCTGGGGAATCGACGATTCATTGTGTCTGTGTGTGTTCTCCCCTCCTGAGTAACGACGCCCTGCCACCCCGCCCTCGCTCGAGAAGGCCCCCCTGTGGCCCGCGCCCCGCTGACCGACGCCCCGTGTGCAGGGGCTCGGCGGCTCTCCAGGACCCGCCTCCGCCGCCGCTCGGCCCCCCCCCCCCTCGGCGGGGAGCAGGCGCCGCGCCCGCGGGTCCTCGCGGCCCGCGAGGCAGGTCTTGCCTGGAGGGAGAACGTGCGCCATCAGCATGCATTGTTGGGCGCCCCGCGCGGACTTCGCGGATCCGCGCTGGACCCCCTCCCTGGCGCGCGGAGCGCGCCACGGGGCGGCGCCGGAGGCGCCGCCGGGGGGAGGTCCCAGCGCGGATCCGGGAAGTCCGCGCGGAGCGCCAACAGTTTATGCTTATGGCCTTTTTTCTCCCTCGATTGCCGCACAGGAACGTGCCGGAGTTGCACACCACGTCACGCGCTGCCGACGAGTTCGGGATCGCGGGCGCCGGCCCTGAGAGGCGCAGAAGGCACCCCTGCGCAGCCCCAACCGTGCCCGGCCAGGGCACACCAGGGGGCCCCGCCACGGCGCACACGCGCCTCCTGGCCGACGCCAGAGTTCTGTCGGGCATGTCCTCCTGCAGGCGGACGACGAGCGAAAAGTAAAAAACAGTCAAAACATGTGCAGGAACAATCGAAAAATGATCGAAAGTGTTCCCATATGATTTGTCGATTGCTTGTTGCAGGTGCCTCCTGTAGGGAGACAGGCCCGACCTGACGCCAGAGGGCGCGGACACCATCCCGGGGCCCAGGACGACCCTGGCCAGGCACGGCGGTGGTGTACAGGATGCCTCCTGCGGACCGTCGTCTATGGCGGGGGCCGCATCGCCCTCCTCCGTGCCGTTGGACGCGGCCCCTGACCCGCCCAGCAGGGAGCCGTTCTGCGTGGCGTTGCCCGCGTCGCCCTCCTCCGTGGCGTTGCCCGCGTCGCCCTCCCCCGTGCCGTTGGGCGCGGGCCCGGACCCGCCCAGCAGGGAGCCGTTCGGCGGCCCCTTCTCCGTGGCGCTGCCCGCGCCGCCCTCCCCCGTGCCGTCGGGCGCGGGCTCCTCCGCGGGGCTGCCCGCGTCGCCCTCCCCCGTGGTGAGGGCCTCCTCCAGCATCATGCTGATCGGGCCCGACGTGGGGCCCTCCGCCTCCTCCTGGGGGAGGGAGAGAGGAGCGGTGCAGACGCAGGCCCTCGGAGGTCCGGGCGCTGGAGCCCCCCTCCCTGGCGCTGCGAGTGCCACGACAGTGGGCACGCTCACAGTCCGAGCATTGCAGGAAGCATGTGCTTATTAAGATGTCGTAAACATGCTCTGAACATGTTTTGAGCATGTCTGTTGTGCATGCTTTAAGACATGTTGAAACCATGTTTTAGACATCTGGAGTGTCTTTGGCAACAGGCTTCCTCTCCCTTGATCGTCTTCCACAACACTGGCGCTGCCGACCCCATCTGATTGCAACTCCGCGGTGGCGCGACTGGAATCCCGACGCACGCGCCGAGCCGATCCGATGTCCCACCTCGATCCCAGACCCCCGCCGATGCCAGGACTGTCGCCACAACTTCGACGCCAAGAGGTCTGGACCCCATCCTGGGGGCCGACTCTTCACACTGAATGTTGTTGTTGACGACCTTGGGCCCAGAGGCGCCAGAGGCGCCGCCAGGGGGCTCCGGCGCCGATTCAAGAAATCCGCACGGACCTCCGACAGGTTTATGCTTATGCCGTTTTGGACTTCTTCGACCTCCGGCGTCGTCTCGCCCTCGGTGCCGCCCTGGAGGTCGGCCGCCGTCGTCGTCTCGAAGTTCTTCTCTTCGTTCTCGGCAGTGGCCTCCAGCGACGTCGAGCCTGGAGGCTTTCCCGTCGTCGACGTCACCTCGTGGTGGAGGAGGACCAGAAACGATGCCGATCAGTACCCCCAAACCCCACTCGAGGAATCATCGGTGGACTCTCCTGGGTCCTGCCAGCACCGCCCACAATGCCCAGGACCCCCCCAAGACAAGTACGAAGCGTCGCAATCCACGTTGCCTGCCAGCTCGCAAAAGGGGGTTAAGGGGAGAGGGGAAGGCTTCTTAGGAGGAGGTTGCATCTTAGAAGGCGCCGGCCCTACATCGATAGACAAGGCCCGCGCCATCTAAGCAGCAGCCTCCTTCTACGAAGCCTTCCCCCCTCCCCCTGCCCCCCTCTGCGCGTGGCCGACCTGCTTCCACCGCCTCCAGGCGCCCAAGACCTCCGACGACATGATCACTCGCGACGTGGACCCCTGGACCTTTCGCCCCCTGCACTGCGGATGGCTCCTTCGCGGCCCCGCGGCTCGAAGCATGCCCCCCGAGGCTGCAGTCGATGAAAACCAGGCCGTCGCTGCTGCATCGGCCCGACCCGCTGGCGACGACGCCCCCTTGCTCCAGACGACGGGGACCTGGGCCCTGGCCGGCCTCAGGTTGGAGGGTGATCTAAATCGGGAGCGGCCAAGAGGGGGGTGTCCAAGAGGGGGGGGTGCAAATCATGACCGGCGGCATGTGCGCGGCCCAGCGGGGGGGCCTGGGACGCAATGAAATAAGAAGAGGCGCCATGAAATCTGAGGAAAAATCATGGCTCGCGCCATGAAATCCACCCCCCCCTAGTCATCACCCCCCTCTTTTCCGCTCCCGACTAAAGGGGGTCTGCAACAGGGGGTCTTCAATGGCGGCTGAATGGCCCATGTATGCTCAATGCATCGCTCACGTATGTGATCGGGCACGACTGGCATCCAATGTTGGCGGTCCTGGAGGTCCAGTCGTTCGTGCCCGCGCGTTGCCCGCGCGGGCAGACGCGCCGTCCATCCATTATCGTTCACGCGTGGGGCCCTGGCCGGCCTCAGGATCGACCGCCGAGGCCGGCCTCGGGCGCGTGCCGGCCCGACTCGGTGGCGCGCCCGCGGGGGGCCGAGCCTCCTCGGCGCAGGCTCAGAGCGCCTCTGGCCTTCTGAGAAGCTTTCCGCGCCTGCTCTCTGGGCAGGGACCGAGCGTCCCGGCACTCCTGTGGGCCTGCCACGACATGCTCTTGGAACCCAGCAGTGCTCAAGAGAACAGGCGCGACGTTCTCGGAGCACGGACCCGACGCGCGAAAACCGGGCAGTCTGAGTATCGTGTCGCCGATCCCCATTCCCAGCGGCGGCGTGGCCTGGGCCCCACTGGTCGATTTACCCCCCTAGATGGGGATACAGGCCGTTCCCTTCGGGTTTCGCGGGATGTATTCCCAACTGGGGTGGTAATTTGGTGGGGGTCTCGAAGGGGATGGAGATGGGGATGGGGCTCGGTGAAACGAGACTGAGAAGCGATGCTCTCGGAACACAAACCCGACGTGTGAAAACAAGACGGTCCCAGCCGGGGCGCTTCGCCACTGCTTGCTTCCCCAGAGGCCTCCTGGATGGGGTCGGAGGAGCTGACGGGGTCGACGGTCACGCCGCATCGGCGATGCTTCGGCGATGCATCGGCGACGCACCAGCGACGCATCGTCGATGTTGGCGGTGCAGCGGCGACGTCGACGTGAAGCCAATCGGGCCCCACATCCGGCCGCACCTGGCGGCGCAGCGGCGATGCTGGCGCGATGCACTCCGACCGCACCTGCGAGGCCCAGCTTCTCCGCAGCCCCGCCGCCGCCCGAGCAGCCCCGGGCCCCCCCCTCTCTCTCTCGCGCTTCCCCCCCCCCCCCCCGCGGCGCCCCGCGAGAGGGGGAAGGGCCAGCGTTGCCGCCGGCGGCGCACGCGCAGGCCCCCCTCGGGGGCACTGTTGGGTCGGGCCTCTCCCCCTACAGGCGGCGTCTTCGGGGGGGAAGAAATCGAGAGTACTTCAAACATGCTCAAAACCAAAACCCCCACACAATGCTAGAACAAATGAGCTGTGATCAACAATTCCAGAAACATGCTCGACAATGCCCCCAAAAATACTCCACAAGTCGTCCCTGGACTTGTTTTTGGCCTATCTTTTCATATACAGCCAACGCGCCTAGTAAGGACGCGCGCCTTCATCTAGGGTACCCTTGTGTCCTTGCCTCTGCGGCCCGTCCTTTGCCGTTTTCACTGGTCGCCCGCCGCCCAAACAAGTCCAACTTCGGCCTCCAAGGGTCTTGCGTCCTTACCACCCGTCCTTACTGCACATTTTCATTGTACTTCCCGTATAGAAGGACAGGCCCGACCTGAGGGTACTGAGGAACCTCTTTGGGTGGCCGGCCCCGGGATTGGGTCGGGCACGCCCTCCCGCACGCCGGGGCGGCCAGGAGGGGGGCGTCCAAAGAGCAGGGCTGGCGGCACGTGCGCGGCCCAGGGGGGGTGGGGAGCAGGGAACGTACTGAAATAAGAAGGGGCGCCATGACATCTGGGGAAAGATCGTGGCCCGCGCCAGGATATCCCCCCCCCCTGGTCATCACCCCCTCTTTGCCGCCCCCGGTGCACGCGGATTTTGGAGAGCAGATGAAGCAGATGCAACCGATACGCAGAAGGGACCAAACATAGTCGAGAAATCGTCCCGGGAGTATTCTTTCACAACTATTCTCGAATACATTCCTCCAGCAGAGGGACATGCCCGACTTACGCCCAGGCCCCTCGAGGCCCCTTGGGGCTGAACCTAAACGCTGATTTTCGTTTTCTTGTCGTTTTGCTCTACCCGCTTTCATGTACCTCCCTCCCAACACGAAAAACAAAGCACAGCCGAAGTCCAGCAAAACAGCGTTTAGGTCGAGCCTTGCCTTTGGGTGGCCGGCCCTGGGATCGGCAGACACCCTCCCTCGGGGGGGGGAGGCGATCGGGGTGTGGCGGCCGGGGCTCCGCCCCTAGCCCGGTTCCCGCACCCAAGCTTGGGGTGCCCTGGCCTCCTCCTCCTCCTCTTCCTCCTCCTCCTCCTTCCCCATCGTCATCCTCCTCCCCCTCCTCCCCCTCCTCCCCCTCCTTCCCCCTCGTCCTCCTCCTCCTCCTCCTCGTCCTCCTCCTCCTCCTCCTCCTCCTCCTTCCCCATCCTCCTCTGACTCCTCCTCCTTCCCCATCCTTCCCCATCCTCCTCCTCCGCCTCCTCCGCCTCCTCCGCCTCCGCCTCCTGCTCCTGCTCCTGCTCCTGCTCCTGCTCCTGCTCCTGCTCCTGCTCCTGCTCCTGCTCCTGCTCCTGCTCCTCCTCCTCCTCCTCCTCCTCCTCCTCCTCCTCCTCCTCCTCCCCAACCCCCGCCCGCCGCCCAGAGCCAGGAGGCGTGGCGGGCAGGTTGAGGGCGGCCCGCGCTCCCTGCCACTTCGGGCGTGTGCCCGCGGCTTGTGATGCGCTCCGCGTGGCAGCGCAGAGGAGCGGAAGCAATTCCGAGGTCGTTGTCTCGACGAATTCTGGGCGGTCGGTGCGACCTCTCAGAGAGCAGGGTCCAGCGCGGCTCGTCTCATCGTATCTCCCTGCAGGTGGCGCATGGCTCCCCGCTGCTTGCACGGCCCACAAGGCTTTGCAAGGGCTACTGCCTGGCCTCGTGTACCCCCGCCAACCCGCTCCCCCGACCGGGAGGCAGCCTTTGCATCCCTGTCGGGAGCTCTCTGTGGGCAAGCGCTTACTGACCACGACAATCGCGTCCAAGGCACCGTCCGCCACACCGTCCCCCTCGGCACACCGCCGAAGGAACCTCGGAGCGGATCCCGCCGTGATGGCGAGGGCGGCCCCAAAGAGGCCTCCTCCTCTGGTGCAGCATTTGTTCGTGACCCCGGCCAAGGGGATCTCGACCCCTCCCCTGTTGATGGGCCAGACGGGGGAGGAGAGAGGCTGGGGAAGTCCTCCTCCCCTCCTCCCCCTCCCCCTCCCCCTCCTCCTCCTCCTCCTCCTCCTCCTCCTCCTCCTCCTCCTCCTCCTCCTCCTCCTCCTCCTCCCTCTACATCCTATGGTGGTGGTGGTAGTGGTGGTGAAACATCGGCCCAGCGCCCGTGACGGGACTCTCATCACGGCATCGTTGGTCGACAGCCCCCGGGGGCCCCGAGGCGGCCTCCCGAGGCCGAAAACAAAGAAAACTACAACGAGCCGGCTGCCGCGAGCTTCGCGCCAGTGCCTGGCTCCGAGGCAGATGACAACAACAAAAACGCCATAGACATAAACTGCTGGCGCTGCGCGCGGAGTTCTTGGATCTGTGCTGGACCCCCCCTCGTGCAAGAGAAGAAGAGAACAAATAACAATACGAAACATACTAATAAACATAACAATGCAACTAATAATAATACGGATGATACGAATAACAACAATACTAGTAACAATGACACTAATAAGAAGAAGAAGGAGAAGGATATTAATAATATTCAAAATACAAAAAGAATACACCATGACCATAACGGCATAAACATAAACTTTTGACGCTCCGCGCGAGTTTACTGGATCTGCGCTGGACCACCCTCCTGGCGCGCGGAGCGCGCCAAGTGCGGTGCCGGAAGCGCCGTCGGGAGGGGCCCAGCGCGGATCCAAGAGATCCGCGCGACGTTCATGGCGTTCTGCTCTTCTTCGGTGAGGGGGGCCCCAGGGCCGGCCACGACCCTTTCCTGGGACGCACAGGGACATACTAATACTATATGTCCTCCTTGGAGGCGCGCGTCCGACCCCAACATGTAGTATACCCACCTTGTAGTATATCGTTTCCCGAGCGGTGTGGCCAGAGCGCCCGCAGCAATGCATATCAGAGTGAGGGGGCCGAACGGTCATTCACTGTCCCTGGGTGCGTGGCTGATGTGGAATTCCGCGGTGCGGATTCTTGTTGTTGTTGTTGGTGTTGTTGTTGTTGTTGTTGTTGTTGTTGTTGTTGTTGTTGTTGTTTTTGTTTTTGTGTTTGTTTTTGTTGTTGTTGTTGTTGTTGCTGTTGTTGTTGTTGTTGTTGTTGTTGTTGAATATTATT